AATGCTTCACCGGAAATACTGCCGTGCATAGAGCCCATTATTGGCAATGGCGCCCCTGCTTGCTGAGAAGGTGCCGTGCGCAGAAACGATGTCAAGGGGATCTCCTGATCAGTGGCGGTTCTACTTTGGATTACACCCAGGGCGAGACCCCCTTCGAGCAAATAGAAAATAGAAATTTGTACTTTGCATATTGGCTACTGTAAAAACACAAAGTTTATCATTATGTAAATTATTTTCATTTCATGAATATAATGACCAACATGATCACACACCTTGTTCAAAAAGCCTAATACACAATGAAATCAATTCACCAAGTTAATAACATTAAAGATTTGTTTTAAAGGAGTTTGTTTATCTTACCTACTAAAAACGGTTAACACAAAAAAAGATTTTAAAAAATGTAAACCTCATATTTCAGCATTCAATCATCTCTATAAAAAGAATGAGTCAATAAAGATACATTCCTGGTATTTATAATGCACAGTAGCTTATCTTTTATTATTAATAGTAAAATTCGGACCGATTTCCCCATGGCTGTCGTTGCTATAATACAACCATGCACTGCGCTCTCCACAACGACAGAGACATTTTAGTATAGCTAATGTATTTCCACCACAGAAAAACGCTTGCTGTAGCTCTGCTAAAAGATTTATTTACGGAGAAGAGAAAAAACACCCATGTGTTTGGGTGCACATGCACTCCCATCAGTGGTGTAGTGCAGGGTATACGCAGATACGGCGTATACCCACTTCCTTTTCAGTCGGCATTGCGTATACCCACTTCTAAATCCCCTCTGACGCGCATCTTGACGTCAGTTGCTAATCCAATTTCGTGAATAAAAAAAACCCACCCAGTTAGAGTCGTACCCGTATTAAGTCTAATTTGTTGCTGCAATGATTCGCGACGATAACTGACCTTCTCATCTGATCTGCTTCAGCACTCAAACACCTGCTCGTCAATGTTAAAATGTTCGTGAGACCAATCAAAGAATGCAGTAGGCTTATTTCTGTTCACAGAAGCGCGAGCCGAGCGCGAATCCCAACGCGACGCTTCACTTCAGTTAACGACAGTGCGAGATAAGATAAAAGTAGCTCAAATTTACGGCTGTTTTTCAATAGACGTTTTAAATGACCGACAGAAATAATCAGTTTGATAAAAGACAATGGAAATTATAAGCTCAATTTAACAACACAATCACCCTATTAAATATATTGCCATTATTATTGTATAAATATATTTGTATAACGTTTTTTCGAATGTGTTTGACTTTTCACTGTTTGTATAACTCCGCTTGTCTGTGTTTGCGCCACTTACATCATTGAGCCAGAGGGTGGCGACAAGTGACTGTCTTTTTGAGTGAGCAATTGAACCAATTATTAAATTAACAGATTAGTCCAAAAAACATTGATTAATTTAGGAAAGAAAAGTCGCTGAAACTGGAACTGATTCTCATGTTTAAGAATCTGACCAAATAGGCAACTTCATGATTTTAAAGCTACTGTTGTCAATTTTTTTGGCCATCAAAACACCTTAAAATTCTCATTTCGAGATCAGGAAAATCAAAATTTTCTCGGGGGGGCATGCCCCCGAACCCCCCTAACAATATCATTTATGGGACCTGGCACCTGGGTATTTAGAAAACCATATGTGCGACCCTGATATGCAAGAATACTACTGATTCTATATGTTCTATTGTATTCATTATACTCTATTCGTCTTGCATATTGAATACTAATGCAAGACTAGTAGTCTTACACGTAACTGTTTATAACACAGAGCGTTCATCCTTTGCTTGGACGCTTAAAAAAATATTGGGGGCATAAATTAAGAGTATACCCACTTCTCCAGGCACCACTACACCACTGACTCCCATACTGAAAAGTTTATGACTGCGCCTCCCGTGAGCGCATAATGAGCGCGCTTCCCGTGCGCCTAATCGCCTATTTGAAATAACGACCTCAAGCGCGAAAAAGACGCGATACGTGAACTAATCAAGAGACCACCTTGACATCGCTTCTGTGCACGGCACCTTCTCAGCAAGCAGGGGCGCCATTGCCAATAATTGAATCGAAATGATAAAAAATAGAAAACCTTCGCGGCACAGAGTATTTTTTTTAACTGCTCGTGCCGCCCCCCATGTGACATGAAGTGATGCCGCCCCGGGCGACTGCCCGGTTCGCCCGTGCCTAGAACCGATA